CCTGGCTGCTACTTAGCCTCTTCATACCTATGGAAGCAGGAAGGGTGTTCTTAGTTTTTCACACATGGCTTCTCCATTTTGGCTTTCTTTTTGTAAAATAAATGATGACACGGTCTAATCTGTCATGTGCTGTTGTTCATCTGAGGTCATATTTACCTACTTTTGAGAACTGGTAAGGACCAGATGATTTTTATTATGTCCTGATACTTAAAACCATAGAACTCAAAGGGGGTATACTTTCTTTTTCACATGACCGTACCCTTACAGTTTGATTGATTCCACTAGCAATTAATGCATTTTTAAATTATTTTCTTGATCTAAGTAAATCAAATGATTTTCAGACAGTTTTTCTACACGATGTCAGTGTGTTAGACTTCACAAGTATGATTTATAATGTACCGTGTTGATGCAAAACTTTTCTCTCTTTGCCCAAATTTCCCATTTTTGTTTTGTTTGTTTCATGTACACTCCTGCACTAAGTCATGTCGTAAGAAATATGCTGTTCATCTGTTTGTTTGTTTTTTCCTTTTCTGCTTTTCGGTGGCTTCGAGAAACATGTAACGAGTTTGCATGGTTTGCATATTAACTAAATATATACATTTGCTAAACATTAATTATCCAGTGGCAAAATAATTGAGTCTTTCTTGTCCCAGGATAATCCTCAAAAAATATAAATTCAGGTACACTCATACACACCTATTGGAGAAGAACATGGAAAGACTATTGTTCTAATTTGATTTACTTCTTATTTTTCAATGGTAGTGTAATCTTACATATTATAGTGTCTTCCCAGAATAATTTTAAAGTGGGGAACTTTTTTTTTTTGCTTAGAAGGTCCTTTCCAGACTCCTTTCATCTCCCCTTTTCCCTCTGATTAACAATTTTCCTTCTTCTGTAGCTTTTTATTGTGATAGGTAACCAAAGGGCCAACAGCTTTTGGGAAGGGAATCTTCAACCACATGAGGCCTTGAATTTTGATGTGCCAGCTGACCAGAGGCTAACTTTTATTATCCAAAAATATAAAGAACGAAAATTCATAAAAAACACCCTGCTCTCTAAAACCAAAGATGAGTTAAATAAGGTAATGCGGATGAAAATGTTGAGGATGGGAACAATTTTGGGTCGTTTTGCTTTTTGTTTAAAAAATATAAATCACTTGTGAAGTAGAACCATAGGAGAATCTTTTACTATGCATTGGGATTAAACAGGGCACACGTTTCTTAATAAAAAGGAATGGGTTTGCTAATGTAATGAGTGGAAATGAAATAAATGTCCACAACCAATAATGGCACCTTAGAGTGCCTGAAGGATGTGCTTTCCACTCATGAGCACAGGGCGATGTGCATTGTCTTGTGACTTCCTTCACGTCACCCAAAATGTTTAGACTTGATCCAGATCAATGAGCACATGTAATTGTTCAGTTAAACATCTCTTTCATCTCTTCATATGTAGTGGATTTCATTGCTGTCAAAAAAGGAGATGAAAGTTTAGCAATTCTAGGGAGGTATGGGATGTATTTCACAACTGCAAATTTATTCTGTAGGAGCCAGGTTGAATTGTTTCATTATACACTACTCTTCCATTTTAGTTTCCTCTGATGGAGGAATTAAGAAAGAAGCATCCAAGTATCCAGAAAAGGGTTTGGGGTTTCTGTAGTTATTTTAGTCAGACATAAATAAGGACCAAGGACCTATTTTTCCAACCTAGAATATCCTTGAAGAAGTAATTGCACTCCATGGTAATTGAAGCATGCTACGCTTTGTATCCTACATTTCTGTAATCCCATGAAGATCTTTTTCGTTGTATCAGTCATCAGAGATCAAAACTCATTTGGTGTTCTTTGATAAAATACCTGGTAGAAGACTCTCAAGGCCATGTTTCCGGTTGTATACTTTAAAAAAAACAAGGTGGATGTTATCCCACCTTTGTAGATAACAGATGACAAGGAGGAGTCCTGGGGGACAGATGCAGTCATAGTGGAAATACAAATCTAGCCTCTCCCTGTGGACAACCCTCTCTATGCATGATCAAGGGCCATATAAAATCTTAAGAGCCATTATGCAGATACAGTGGAACCTCGCGTTACGAACGCTTCTGTTAACGAACTTTTCGGGTTACGACCAGCTCCGGCCGCAAAATTTTGCTTTGGTTGAATTTTAATGGAAGCTATCAATTCCATAAACATGCCGGTTCAATTAAGAAACATTAATCCCTTCCTCTTTGGCACTCTGCATATCGCTCATGCTTTTCATCTTTGCAATCAGGCTCTCTGTGCTGCAGTGATGAAGCCGGATGTATTGGAAACAATGATGTTGTTGTTTAGTGGAGCAGACGTGATGTGTGCAACTGGAGACCTTGTGTGCAGCACCCCATATTTGTTAGCCAAGAAATCTGGGCAAAGGTTGCAGATGGAATTCCTCTACCACAATAAGTTTTCAGGTACAGACCCGCATTAGTATGTGCCTTACATAGTTTGAATGTGGGCTTCGTGCAATGTGATTTGGGGAGCTCAGGCTTCATGTTACTAGATGACAACAAATAAGGGAGCAAGGATCCTTGTGGATAAAAGGCTCTTAGGCTTACCAAACCTTACCAGGTTTTCTTTGGAAAGAAACATGGCAGGAAGAGATAGAGAAACTGTTTAAAGTGTGCACTTTTATTTCTAAAGTTGTTCTGAGGAATAAAAGCAAGATAAGCAGCCACCCTGCCTTTTCTTCAAGGTCCGGGCATTCATCAATTATTATGGGATCTTAATGAAACAGATATTTCATTGAATGATAGACTCGAACAGAGGATGGATAATTGAATGCTGGTTAATGCAAGGTGTGGTTTTTAAACTTAGTTAAAATAAGATAGTTTCATTGTTTGGCATGAACTAAACTAAACTTGGGTATGAACTTTAAGGTTGGCAGTCAGCTGCCGTAGAATTATATGCAGCTCTTGAGCCTCCTTTTGTTGGCCCTCAAGGTCCCTTCTCACCATGTCTACAGAAGATAGCTTGCTCTTTGTGTGGGCCCTAAAATAGGCAATTAACACACCAAAGGTGGCAAACCATCTTTGGAACTAACCCCACCCCACCCCGCATGTGTGAAATGTGTCCCTCACCCCCCGCCCCGTTAAATGTGACCTTCGACCACCAAAAGGTTGCCAACTGCTCTCTTAATCCCTACCTTAATCCCTACCAGGGCAGAGAGTTCTCAGAGGCTGGGAAAAGTAAGTGAAGGTAGAAGAGCCATTAGCCCTACAGTAACACAATCTAGGAAAAAGTCGCTTCTCTCAACCCTAGGAAGGAGGCAGTGGCAAGCCAATTCTGAAATCTTGCCAAGAAAACTGCAGGGGTTTGTCTAGGCAGTTGCCAGGAGTCAACACTGACTCAAAAGGCACACACAAAAACACAGAAAGAAAGTCTGGGCAAATCTTGCTTTTTCTTGGCCATGTGTTGCTGTTTAGCCCCCAGTTCTGGGACTTCTTGAATACTCAAACCAAATGCTGAGTAGGTCTGATTCTACTTCATCATAGGTTTTCTAGATGCCGCTCTTCAGAGCAACTCGTCTCAAACAATGGTTTGAGATTTAACCTCCATAACTAATAGTTCTTCATTACTTTACAGATTTTTCAAACTGTGATGGCCATTCAAACAACAGTTCCTGTCCTGATTCATCCTTACATTCCTTCCTTTATGATAATTTATACATGGTTTCCTTCAACACTCCAAAGCTGTTTATTGAGAGAAAAATACAAGAAGGTATGCTGGTCTTTCCTTTTCTTTCCTTTTGCGTAGGTAGCCTGGTACAATACTGGTACAGATGACTGACCTTTTAGTGTTTTATTTTAGAACTTTATCAGTAATATATATATATAAAAAAAGCATTTCGAAACATGAGAGTGTCGGAACAAGTAGGAGAAAAGATAGGGAAAAAGTAATTTCCCTTCAAATGAAATAATGTTCTGTGGTCACAGGTTCACATGAAAAAAAGTGAACAGTATTTTGATTGCTAAGCATTGCAGTCTCTTAAAACATTCCTTACCCTGATGAATTTATGAATTTCTCCATTGGAGTAAAGCTAACTGGTTGAATAATGTTCAAAAAGTACTTCTTAACAGCCAGTGGGACATTGTAGATAGGCAACATAAGCATAGGTTTAGGGGGTAGATAGCAAACAGCCTTAGAATTAATGATTGTATTGTTCTAAAAAGAAAATGGAGAAATATATTTTCCTGAGAATGTATGGACTCTTAGCATAGTACTTTTTTTTTTTAATACAATATATTTATTTATTTGCAATTTCTGTAATCCACCGCAGACCAACAAGGAAAAAAAAAAGATAAAAAGGACATAAAATAATTTCTCATCTCAACATAATGCCAAGAGATGACCCCTCCCAAAACAATCAGATTGGATTAAAGACACAGCAGAATGGAGATGTTTTGGCAGCTATAAAATGAAGGGTGTTTCATTAGGGTTCACAGTGAGATGCTCTCCTTTTCCAGCAGCCCCCAATTAAATAACTGTGCAGCCAATTTTGCATGTTTTCAGGAGTTTGAGATGTTCATTTCCCTGGGCTACCTTCTATTTTAAAAAGGATGGGAGCTACAGAACATACTGTGATGTGCAAGTCCCCTGTTTACTGTCCATGCAGCTGCAAGAACTTCAAAAAGAGTTTTTATATTGCAATATATACCTAGTGAAGCTAATGAACAAAATTGAAATGCATCA